AAATATGCATTGTATATAAGGTGGCTTCCACTCGTTAGCAATCAAGAACATTCATATAAGGGCTATGGAAGATTACTAAATCGACTGGCTCCGAAACTGGCTCTCATGGGAAGTGGCTGGGTGACCGGTCTCTCTCATTCGGCTTTCGGATTTGAGAGCGGCAATACTGATATGTATATAATAGCAGAGCAGGCAAACTTTTGTTAGATATCATGCTTTTTCTTTCAATAGCTGAGATTTTATAAAGGCCTTGGGAGAAAATGAGACAGTCTAAAGGTATCTGCGCGGTTCCGTCATCTTCGCCAGTGAAATATATGGACGAAAACTCTCTTCTTGGGACTTGTGATCGCTCTACATAAGGATTGTGCTTCCTCCTTAAAAATCTCATAATTGCTTCCGCTTTTTCCGTAAGGAATGTCAAATTGCCAATGCAAGCGAACATACGAGTCCAAGGAAGTAATCGGGAAGAAAAAAATTATATGATGGCTAGGACAAAATTTCTATTCAACTGACGTTTCGAAATCCATCGCAGATTCTTCATCAGAGACATTAGCAGAATCAGTAGTAGAAGTAGGTCTGCTACTGGCTCTGCTAATGTCTCTGATGAAGGATTCACGACGGATTTTGAAACCTCATACGAATAAAACTCTTGTCTCAGCAATTAAATCTTATTTTTTTCTTCAGAGGACTGTAACACAACACATTTCTCCAAAAATATCGCCTGGGCTTCATATTTTACATTCATCTTATTTCCGCTCACGTGGCTTCTTCACTGCTTCGCTTTTAGGGACGTCGTTGAAGCCGAAGAAATTCGACTTGACCGATGGACGGTAGTAATTAAACCCGATCATGCCGAAAGCGATGCGCAAAAGAAACAGCTGCAGATAGAAGCGAATGCCTGCAACACCAATGAGGATACAAGTCGCATCTTCGTTATGAACAACTACTTCGGCCTGGGCATTGATGCCGATCTGAACTTGGATTTCCATCTCGCACGGGAAGAAAACCCGGCCAAATTTAATAGCAGGTGAGGGGGCGGATGTAATTTTTTGTAACCTGGTGGTAGGCAGCCTTTGCACGTCGCGTGCAGACACACCCACTCTAATACGCACTCACGCAATCGCATAACTCTGCACTAAAATTCTAATTTACAGCCTTTTGTACAGTCAGCTCATTGTACTTTCGGGATACCTGGTGCAGTATGCCCAAAACCAAGTGTTCCGACTGGGCTGTTTTCTAAATTAAGTGACCTTTACAAATACAGGCTGCATACCGCCCAACCACCACCCATACCACAAAGTCCCGTGCTACATTTCGGACGTCCCTAGCCTGAGATTGCTCTGGGTCGGGAGAAGCCACACCCTAAAATGTGCGCAACATTGGCACCTATGGTCTCGGGGTTTTCTGTAATCTCCCGCGTTAATTCATTAAAAGTAAAATCGACATGTAGTCTTAGTTTTAAGGAGGAAAAGTGATGAAATTAATATTATGTTGTGGTTTCACAAAGTGTTGCGTTTTACCGAAAGCTTAAATGAGCGTTAACTATATGTGCCGTAAATGTATGGCAACCGAATGAATGGAAATGTTCGCGCTTCAGATATTTCCATGGATAAAGAAAAAATATTTGTTGACCACCAGATCAAGTTGTTTATTGTCGTGAGCTTTCGAACCCTTATAAGAGTCACTCATTAGAGGTAGGAAGCTGCAACCAAAAGGAGGTTAATTATAGTAGTCATAGGCCAATCAACTGTTGAAACTCATCAGGTAGTCATGGGGTAGGAAACAGCCATCAAAAACGATTGGAGGGGGACAATTATAGTGGCATACGCTTAATATGGAGGATAT